ATGTCCTCTCCGGAGTTGCCGATACAATGTCGGCAAATCTAGCTCCAATTTTATTTAATTGCAGCAACACGTTCGCGCCATTTCCTGTCGTGATGGGGCATCGGAAAGAAATCTATACAGAACCGATTTGAATGGCCATAACCACATCCGCAAATACCGGCATATTGACTCATGAAAAATTTTCATGATTCAATTGCGAAAAATAACGAAATGAAAAGTGTTCTTGTTGTAGCAGTATCTCCGCAATATTTTATATTTGATAGCGTCTCGTCAACATTTCCCCTTGGGCCTATGTGCGAAATTGGAGTCGGCGCGGTTTGAAATAAAAAGGAGAGAAAGTTAGGGTCTTGTTTGCATTCTAAAGTGGACTCGTTTGTCCCTTAGGATTTTCTGATTTACAAATAGAATAAATTTTGGAAAAAGTTTGGCGCAGGCCCATATTATCCCGTTTCTTTCATTGTTTCGAAAACAATGCTTAGTTTTATTGCATCCAATAAAATCAGATGGGTCTCTCAATTTTCTTTCTACAGATTTCTTTTCAATTGTTACGATCGCACTTTTGATGAACGTTAAAATTACTTAACTCTTAAATTATTTAAATGGGTAATAAAAACGAAGAAATATTACCGGTAAGACTGCTTTAAGAAAAGTGTCGAAGGAATTCCGATCACGGTCGAAATTGATTCAATTTATGAAGGATTTCCTTCTCACTATTGTCAAGAGACGTGTTTTATTGAACAAAATCGTGTACGCTGTTCTAATGCAGCCTTTTTAAGTCACTACATATTTTTTATTACTTAATAAGCTACTGCAGATACATAGAAAAGAGCAGATCTCAAAAATATCGTTATAAATACAAACTGTTTTTATTACGACAAGAAACATAAAAATAAGCTATTTGGGACAGAATAGAATACACTCGTTTGTATGAGTGCTACATATGTATTTTTTATCTAATGATAATATTTTATTCACAATGTAGAGTAAATTACTCCTATCGTGATAATTTGTTGTAAATTTATTTTTGAAAACGGAACACCATTTATATTTATATTTATACTCGTTTTGTATAAATTATATTACACATAACTGGCATTTATGACAAGGAAGCTGTCACAATTTGCGGTTAAGTGAAAAACGATTTTTACTTGATTTGTTCCAAATTCAAGCTGAAAATTGACAACAAAACAAAAAAATATTGATCCACACTGTAATCAATATCGTAATACTACTTTTGTGTATTAATAAAATTTTCTGGCCCTGTTAGTGTCATTCAGATCAACAATAGTTGAACAACCTTTTCCGTAGAGATGTTCATCAATCCATCACAGAGTTGCAGTGTTATATTTAGCTGATCGTTAATGATTCACTTGGCTAAATGCTGAGATAGAAGCGTGCCATGATGTTGAAAGTCAATTGCAGGTGCTACGTGCATATAAAATTTAGTTAATGTTCTATTATTGTAGGCAACCCTTACAGATACCTCTGTTAAATTTGTTACGGAATGAAGCTAATCCGTCCCTGTTCACCATGTGCCCACCGTCAAGCTTCGACCGAGGATATGTAATTTGCGTGTACATTTTGTGGCTATAAGAAAAATAGTGATTTTATTGTATTTTCTTAGCCCTTTGAAGCGCAACAAATATCCCTTAAAGACTATGAGTAAATATTTCCGTCCCTGACTTGTAACCCAAAGGTAGAGCAATTGAAGCACACATCGGATTCTTTTTAGTTTTATCACAAGAAATATACTGTTCTGTAATTTTTAAAGAAGCGGGATATGTTGTTTGAGCGTCGAGGAAAGGTCTGTCTAAATAATCCTAGACCAATTATTTATTATCTCTATCTAATAAGTTGTCCCTCAACTCCTGCGTTCATAATTTATCGGGTTCTTTACGAGTATATCTTCAGGTGAGCATCGTTATTGTTAAAGCTTTAGAAGATTTATCCAATATTTTTTGGGTTGTTTTAATTTTTTTTTGAAGCAAAAGTTTTAATATTTACAGTGTAGCATTGATGATTAAATTATTATTGATCTATCAAATTTGTACAGAATTGTGCTGCGTCTTCTTATCCGAACACTCTTCTTTAACTAGGTAGTAGGCAACGTACTCGTTTCCACGCAAAATTTTTAAAGTTACCACATCCGCTGAACAACAATCTCATCTCTTATTTGTCACCAGAGGTCGCTCCAACTTGTCCATAAATATAATAATTTCATTTTTAGGTGTTATTCACGTTTCTTGAACAAATGTGTAAAATAAAATATCTCAAACTATATCGTTTCTCATCTCCGACCGATTGATTCATTCAGATTCAAACCGTACGCTGTTTAAATGATTAAAAGTTGAAACAGTTGATTCGGATCATTGACCGCAATTGCGTTACATGGGGTCAGGGTCGCCCCAGAGTCCGCATAGCGCATCAGACACCCTATATTTTCACATCTGCAACAACATTATGTCTAAATATCTACCTAGTTAATTAAAAAATAGTGTACGGATGAGAAGACGTAGCATAATAAAACAGGTCAAACGATGCTATGACGTTCGAAATTCATTGTGCTAGTTTTCTCATTCAAACACTCCGTTCCCAATTTTGCAAAACGGATGAAAAGGCCTTCAAATATTGTTGCAGATTTATTTTAAATTTAATGAAAATTGATAGGTTGGGGGTGTGTGCAAATGAGTACCGTGTACTACTACCTAGTTAAATAAAGTAGAGTGTTCGGATGAAAAGACTAATAACATCAAGGTCGAATATCATAAAATCGTCTGACCTGGTTAACTGGTTTTGACATTATCGAGATAATTGGTAGAATCCATTCACAATTTTAATTTTTCAAGAATGCTATTTAGCAGCTGGAAGAAATCAAAGTATATTAACGGAGCACAAAAAATACCGTAACGGAGGTATAATTTTGCATACATCTTACTTTAGTTTAGTAGGATAGACGCAGAAAATTTAATTGATGTTATGTTATCATTATTATATAAAAATTGCTTGTAATTCTCTTAGGACTTTGAAATATTAACTGTACTTAATTTTCCTTATTGTCGAAACCCCTTAAAATTTGAGGTCAAGCTTTATGATTTGGGAGTGTAGGTACTTTATTACTAATAAAGAACATATTATGAGGAACTATTATAAAGAATTAGAGCTTCCGCATTATTTCTTTATAGATATTTATTACTACGAACAAATTTGTGGATAATTTTTCCATGAATATGCAATTTGTATGTGGTGATCACTGGAGACCTAATATACTTACCCCACGTTACCATAAAGGACGCTGAACTTTTTTAAATATCGCCTAAGGGAAAAGTGACTAGCCAACGGTTCCGGAACGAGAGAAACGGTCAATCTACATCTCATGGCAGCGGTTTAAACAAACAAAAGTAAAAATTTGTTTCTATCTTTCTCAAATAACAATAAGGAAGCAAGCACTTTGTTTGGATATACGTAAAAGATTGCGTTCAGACAAAGATCGTAAACCTTTAAAATCGTTAATGAAAAAGAAAACACGCGTTTTTTAGGTATGTGTCTGTGTGTAAAACGCCAATAATAATAATATCTCTGACGTGAAAGGTAGGCAGATTTCTTATTTTGCGCCACCGCACTATATAACGTGACACAAAAGGTTTCCTATCAGCCACTGTGTGAAAATGTGATTTATCCTATCAAATTTTTGTGGGGTCTCTGTGTCGGTCACGACAACGTAACGTAGAGCTCTGCTTTACAAGGCTAGATTGGGTCTTTTCTACCTGGTTCTACAGCAGTTATTGTGAATATTTGATGAGCAGGTTTCCACAAGTTTGAACCGTCATTCGGTTTTATTCTTGAAACTCGATACATTCGACATTACGCCAATCATTATGTGACGTGTTTCTACTGTTAATTCAAACCTAGAAATGAAGTGGTTTAGTGCCATAAATTTTGCCGGAAATGGTTCTGACCGAAGTCGAATTAAATCAATGATCTCTGTTCAGGAAAGATTGATGAATAACTTTAACCTCTTCACTTCTTGATAAAAAGTTTCGGCACCATATTGTGCTATTTTCGGTCTATTATTCGCTCGAAGAATGCACGGGAAGTAATGAGAAAACGGAACGATCAAAAGTGGATTTGAATCTGATTAATTTTAATTTATTATCGTGGAAGTTTTAGAGTTGATACAAAAATTTTGTCGTTGCGGTAAAGTTTCAAGTTACAACATCTTAAAGTTTCGAAAGAATTTTGTCGCTAATCCTTTTACCCTATTAGATGAGCACGAGGTCATAATCTCTTCAAATCTCGGTAGGATTATTAGAACGGATTTTTGCTTCTGTGAAAGTTTTATTATTATTTGTGTCGTATTTTCCGCACATCGCACATTTTTCTCTCTGTCGACATCTGTTGTGTCCAAGTTTGCGCAGCGCATTTGCACTTGATAAAGTAATTACGTGGAACAAGAAATATTTAATACGTTATGTAAAACGGGGAAAACTCCCGTTTCAAATCCTCTGCAGCTCCTTAATCCCGTGTAATGAACGGCTGAGCCATTATTTTAAGCACTGATGTATCTGTGTGTCTCACCAAAAGCTTAAAACGTCACACTTCGTGCTCCTTTTGCTTAATAAAGTTAAAATTATCTACCTTTCTATGGACAAATTATATTTCTAACGCAGGTAAGTCGTTCGTGCTCCTCCACAATTTAGAGACGTGAGCAAGGAGCAGTACAAATTTTGCTTGTGAGGTTCGTGTAGACACTAAACAAACGAAAATAAATGTAAAATGTAAAAAACGTGGCCAAACGCAATCACTCTCTGTTGTGTGGCTATTCATTGAACCAGACATCGTTTGAATTGGAAATGCTCCCCTACGCCGGTCAGCTTCGATCAATTCGGAGCCATTGTTAGGGCAAGAGCAGAAAAAAAATTATTAAATTCGACCCACTTTCGCGATCGCATTTGAATTTTCCTCATCATCGCCTAAACACTGACCATGAATCATTGTTTCAGGATCAAGGAATGGAAGATGATGTTCGTTTATTGGCCGGCATTAGTTGTTGCCGGAATTCTCGTGAAAATTGCAACGGCCTGTCCGGTTTCTTGTTCCTGCAAATGGAAAAATGGGAAGCAGACAGTGATCTGTAACGGGAAAGGTTTGTTGGATATTCCTGATGGACTAGACCCCGGCACTCAAGTGCTGGATTTTTCCGGAAACTTTATGAGCAATCTTGCCGACGAACTATTCAGCAACAAACAACTGATTAACTTGCAAAGAATTTATTTGTCGAATTGTCAAATAAAAATAATAAACGAGAAAACTTTCAAGGGTTTAACAAACTTGGTGGAGCTGGATTTATCACGGAATTTGTTGGAGACCGTGCCGACGAGCTCATTTATGGACTGTCCTTCATTAATGAGATTAACGTTGAGCTCGAACCCCCTAACAGTTTTAGAAAGGTTGGCTTTCAATCATCTGTCGTTCCTCAACACCCTCGAACTCGACAACTGCAAGCTAGTCGAAATAGAAGAGGGCGCTTTCCAGGGCCTCCACAGCCTCGAGTGGCTCCTTCTGGACGACAACAAGCTGAAAACAATACGCGGTCCCGAAACACTTCCGCCGAATCTAAAGGGAGTGGAGCTCCGAGGGAATCCCTGGGAGTGCGATTGTCACATCAAAGATCTTCACGTCTGGCTGAAAAACTCCAACGTTCCCATCGCCGTGGAGCCGACTTGCCGTGGTCCTCCCCGGCTCGCAAACCGCGCCATCAAATCGATACCCGTTTCGGAGCTCGCCTGCCTACCAGACGTATCGCCCACAACATTTTATCTGGAACTGGCCGAAGGGAAGAACGTATCTCTGCAGTGTCACGTGCATTCTGTACCGGAAGCGTCAGTCTCGTGGTGGTTCCGGGGGCAGATCCTGCAGAACAATACCATCGTCGCCCCGGGAATACACTTGATTTACTTCGTGGAGGAGGGCGCGGAGAACAAGCGCAGCGAACTGTTCATCTATAACGCCAACTCCGAAGACAATGGTACATTTATCTGTAATGCCGAAAACGCCGCTGGAACATCGCAATCGAATTTTACAATCAAGATAATTATTAAAGAAGATCCGATAGTAATTATCGTCTCATTTCCGTTCGAGTATCTCCTGGCTGCCGCGATAGGGGCCGTCGCCCTAGGACTCGTCATAATCTCTGTTATCGTGGTATTGATTGTGCGATGTCGGCGATGGAAACGACACGAAAAAAGAAACAAGGCCAAAGATGTTACAATGCAATGCCAGCAGACCCTGAAAGGCGAGGAAGCTGCCGAGCCTAATCCACTCAAGGCCAATTCTGATGAGGAAATGACGCTTTACGACGCGCAACCCCGCGATGATCGCCCGGTTGTCACCGCTAATCAGGTCGGCAGCCCCACGTCATTGGGGCGTTATCAGCTGGAGCAAAATCCCGACCTCATTAACGGGATGGAGTGCCGTCGCGACGCCTGCTTGCGCCCGGAGATTTACGATGGGTGCACGATGGATGTACGATGGGTGGACGCCGAAGGGTACCCCATCGATTACGGATTACCCAAAGTACCCGATCAATCAGCCAGCTTCTACCGAACGCTGCCGTGCAATAGGCTCAAACGACAGTCTGCTAATTCCAGGAGCAGATACTCCCAGGAAGCGGAATTTCTCGCCAGAGCTTCCATCTCGTCATCCCTTTACGATCATTACCATACTGACGTCCGTTACACGGCTGATGGCTATCCAGTGCCGTCAAATGACGTCGCCCCATCATCGCTTCCATGCTGTTCGGTGCAGTGGCCGACTTGTGTTCCCGCTAACCTCCACATGGTTAACAACAATCCGAACGACATGTTCCATGATGCGGCCAGATTACCACCGGGGGCGATTATCAAGCGGTGCGTTAGTGCACAAACGGAAGACGCCGACGATCAGACTAAGATTGATTCAAATGCAATCAGCTCGCGAAACAATTCTGCCAATGAAGCTTTAACTGAAAGTCCGGATGAAGGTTACGAGGGAGAACCATCTGTTGTATAGTGTCTTTATTAAATATTTTTCTTTCACTCTTCACGCGTAGAAAGGGATCTAACACAGATAGGAAAACTCAATCACAGGGTAACATTTATTTCATTTAGCGAGATTTTTTTTATTATCCTCAACAATGCGATTAGTCCGGCTGTACATATTACTTATCACTAAGTAAGTAGATGAAAAAGAATTAGGAATTTTTACGAAAGTTTTTAAACGGCAAATCGTTTTTGTATTAGTTAAGCAATATCTTTCTATGTGATTTGACGTTTCAAAACTTTTTTCATTACATGCAATAAATTATCAAATTGCAAGACTTTCGTTTTTCAACAAGAGTCACTATTAGTGTCGAATTTTATTAGCAGTGCGTTAATTTTAAACATTGGCTGATTAAATTTCATTCAATTTCAACAACAACGTATGCAAAGTACCAAAACGTGTCAGTTTTTTTTAACGTAAAAAATATTGTTTTGTTGAAACACAAAATTCGAAATTTGTTAAATATAGTGAGGTTTATTCAACATCAACTTTTTAAAAAATAGAGGAAACTGTTTCAATCAATTTAAGTAGAGCATAAATGTGTTCTTCGAAGAATGGTTTAGTCTTTTAATTTTCGTTATACTAAAGTGCACGTTCAGCTCTAGACACAAAACAGGCACATTGTTTGTTCACTTCCGGTTGCTCCGAGGCCACAAAAACCAGAAACTTATAGCGTCATGTAGCATGTGTGCAAATAAAACTGTTCACCTTAAACTTTTGTTATTTTACATAAAGTTCTGCAGATTTCATAGCATGTGAGTCTGCAAATTTTTTACAGTAATTAGGTTCACCAAAGAAGGTTAATCTAATTTTTGCTTCTTGGAAAATGGACAAAGGCAGCATTGTAGAGCATCCTTTTGTGAATTTCTTGTAGTTCATAGAAAAGGTAGATAGGTTTTCGCTTCTCGCGTCATCTGTTGATTTGAAATTTATTATGTACATAATTTCGGAAATTGCTGCCATAAGAAATCTTAAAACTTGTGCATGTACCAAGTAGATCGGAAAAATGATAATATAAGAGAAAGATATTTATTTATCGTCTTCAGGAAACTGATGACGTCGTGAGAAAATTTTACTAAGTAATTTTTACTTAGTGTTACAATGTACGCATAAAAATGAAAAGTGGGGATGTTTACGCCGACGAAAAATGTCACACAAAGATTTATTAACTATTTTTGTATGAGGAAGTACGTGTTGATGTAAGTTGTAGTATAGAAGTGGGAGAGGTACGTGATCATAATTTTACAAGTTACAATGTACGCGCCAAAACTGCAACAAAAAATTAGAGAACGCAATAAATAGAAGAAAATAATTAGCATTTGCTTATTTTTATTAATTGTAAATTGTAATAATCGAGATCGATTTTTTTTTAATTAGTTTTTGATTTGAAGTATATGTTCAGTTGCATCACTGTTGTTTATTCTTTGTTTGCAAAATTTTAAAATGTAGACAACAACAAAAGAAATAATAATTTCACAGTGTTGCTCCCCATTTCGTTTCTTTGTAAAACGAGGAAGTATTATTTTGCATTTTAAATATATAAAAAGTTGTTAATTTGGTTGTCCACTTAAAAAAAGGACAAAATTAGGAACGCTTCTGTGAAAATTTTGAGCGACTCTGCAAAACATATTTTTTTATTGGCGACCTTTCCTAAGCAATGTTTAAAAGGGGACTTGCTTAATATAATTCGACAGGATTTTGTTTAATCACACTTTTCGAACAAAGACTTTAAAGATTACAATATAGATTGGAAAACTCGTTTAGTTGTGTTTATTTAAATTTTTTTATTATTATATTATAGCACATATTTTCCTTTTTGTTGGTGGTTTGTACAATTTAAAGACAAGCTTCCCTAGTAGACACACTTTCCACAAATCACTTTACACTGGTAATGAAATTTAGCATCAATTGTATACTTCAGTGGTATTCTATTACACCAAAATAGAGTGGACAGAGAATTTTACTGCATATATCTAGTAATAGCATAATGTCTCCTATAATGTATAAATTAGGTTACGCTATTTTGGTAGAATTCTATAGAAAATTTAACTGTTTCTGAGATCTAACTAAAATTCTCAGCATATATCTTCCTCATTTAGTAATAGATTTTATTATGTGTATCGTGATATTTCTTCAAAACCTTCACACCGCAAGTTATTAACATATAAAATATGTAAATGTAAAGAAAGTTATAGTAAGTAATGTACAGAATTTTTGAAAATATTAATTTTATTTTTTTTTTTGACTGTTAATATTTATACAACGTTAAAAAATGCCCATATCATAATATTGACCAATTAATGCACTTTCAAAGAGTTATTGAATAATTATAAAGTGGTGAATCTTTTCTAGAACTATGAAAAAGGAAGTCATTTTAGTTTTCAAGTATCTACAGGATCTGTAGATTTTTTTTAATGTCTTACGCTACCGAAACTTACATCAGCAACATAAAAGTAGTGCAGTTGTTTAAGTTATACATTTTTAACTGAATTTCAAATATATGATGCAGTTTAAGAGCCACATCATTTTCTTTTATCTGCAATGTTTTTAAAACCAGTGTCGCAAATGGTCGTACTCTAATGGTATTAAATTTGGAAAAATACGTTTATCATCCTGTGCATGATTCAAACTTAAATTGTATGTAACCGTCTGAAGTAGTAACTTCCTAGTTTAAAGCACCATTACTGAACCTCTATGACTCCATAAAAATCGCGTTCCAATATCTTTAAGTCTTTATCTTACACTTCTCGCATCGTTGAAACACTTTATGTGACAAAAGTTTGAATATTAAAAACTCTGTTCACCACGGTTCCCAAAATCCAATGATAATAATTGCCACCCATAAAATTTCCCATGAATCGCTACAACAAAGAGCTTAAATTATGCATAAAACAATAAATTTTATTACGCCGTAACATTTGAAAATGTGGTACATTGAGTAAATGAGCAGAAAATTACAGCGTTGCGAATATCCCGTTGAAAAATTAAACCTTCAGGACCGACTGAAAAATACGACGAGAGGGAAAGTTAAAGTGGCGAAAACTCATGAATACCTTTTTATTCAAGCCAATTTTGAAACTTTAAATAGCCAAATACTTTAATCTGAGGGCTGATTGAAAGGATCCTTAGAAAAGGGTGCTGGACTCATTCGATTCGGGGCTCATCGAAATGGCAATAAATAATTTATCGTTCAAGCACTATTGAATTTATTGTTAAATGTTCCAAAAGGGACGTAGCTTGAGGACTTGCGTAATTAGGAAACTTTCGAACTCGTTATGTTAACGGCATTTGTTTATTTTTAAATATTTTGAAGTTGTAACTCGTTTATATGGTTTTCGAAGTTAGTTTGTTTTTCTTATTATGTTATAAGGAACCACACCGGGGGAAGTTTGGCGGAAAGAGTATCGCTAAGGTAGGCTTTGTAAAATTTAATTTCGAATTTATAACTGGCTAAACATCAAACTTCCTCCAAATATCTTAATCTAATTTACTTCCCAATAACTGCGAATCCGTTTGAGGGTTTAGGTAACGCGGTAATGCTTTTAACGATATCTAGAGAAGATTTTTACGCAATTATAGCGTACTAAAATGGTTAATTATAAATTGATATTTGTTTGCGCTAACACGGAATCGTGTTAATTCGATAATCATTTGCTAATAAAATTCGACTCTAATAATCGTTTTGTTGAAGCATGAAAATTTGTAGTATCAACCTACTCCAAGATGATATAGACTGTTTGTATATGTTAAATTTGTACTCGTAGAGAAGCACACATGTGGGAGTTGGTAATATTAATTTGTTTAGTAAACCACAGGAGGGCAAATAGCGTAACTCCCCATTAGCATGTATTGTAGATACCTGTGGTGCCACGTTGTAGATACTTGAAAAGAGAAAGTAAACGTTGATGTTGACGTTTTTGTAATAAAATTCAATAAACCACTTCCGTTTATTCTTAAAAGACTAGTTTTTATTCCCACGGAGCCATTTCTGAAGTGGGGCACTCAGAATAACGACTATCAATAAAATAAAAATGAAAGTTTTATACCTTTTTAAGAAGTATTTCTCGGTAAGTAAAAACCTGAATCATGTGACAATGCATCTAGGTTGGAGTAGATAAGACTCTTTAAAGCTTGGAGAGCAATAACGTCCGTGGAGCGATACGATATATCCCCAAACCCTTCTTGTGCGCCATCCCTCTTCCTTGCGGCTTCCGAGATAATGGTAATGTAATCTTGGGACAAATATAATTCACGACATAAATCCAAAACATGATTGTTGTTAGTTTACTTGCTTTTAGGTTTACTAAGTTACCTCGAGAAAACGCGCCACGATAAACACATTACCCGCAAACTGCAAAAAATCCTTTCCAAGGTGAATACCTATATCTGAAATTTTGAATTTGCGGCTTATCTAGAAGGCTCACGATAAATAACGAAACATTTCACAAGTTAACATGAGTTCAATAACAGGAAGATGAACGGCAAGAATCCCACATGTCCGGAAGTCAAATGGGGGCTATTATTTAGTGTCCTCTAAAAGCGGCCGAGGAACTGCTTTCCATACTCTAGAGTGAAAGGTTTCTGCTTGTTTAGGAATAAACAGCTCGAAAATATCTTCGCCGCCCACGTTATTAGTGATGGATATCAGGAATAGATGACAGTTTCCTTCAGACACGACTCGTAATATATTGGAACAGGTAAATAATAAGTTATAATTTCGATCATTCAGATGATTGATTGAACGAAGACATCAAATTGCGTGAGACTATTTTAAACTTGCAATAAAACACCAAACAACTATATTTATTGTTTAAAGTTGGCTAAACAACAGCAGTAGACAATATAAAAGGAAACAACAAGTTCGAAAACTGAATAAATCGTTGTTTCTGTTTTTTTTTTTGCTAGAAAGGAATATACTTGCTTTCGTCAATAAAATCAATGAATGTTTTTGCTAAAATGTATATTCACGTCTGGTTTAGGCATGCTGTTAAAATTAATTACGTTAATAAAATACTCTTTTTTGCTGTAAAACGAAGCGCTTTGTTCAGAAGTAATGAATTCTGTTTTATTTCAAAATGATAATTTACAAGGTAGAAAACAAAAAAAAAACACAATTTTCATTCCTATGTTATTTTTGTGAAATTATTTAATTAGTAAGAGGCATAATACAAAAAAAAACGTGCATTTAGTAAACAAAATATCTTTCATGGACTCGACTAATTT